GACCGGAGCCATCACCTGTGCATCCTCCCCCTCTGAAGATAAACTGATGGAGGATCAGTGTGACAACGACCTACACCGTCAGGAACCCAATGAACAAATTGAGAATGGGGACCGAGTACACTCAGAGCTGAAATGGGATGAGGGTGAGCACAGGCTGACCAATGGAGGCGCTCTCCAGCTCTTAGACCATGAGAAGGAAGAATTTGACGGCTGTGTCGACGACTACGGTGACTCACGTTTCTCTCACCTCAACCACAACGCTGATCTGCCACACAACTGTGAGATCTGCAGGAAGACCTTCAAGAACCCCTACAGCGTGAAGATGCACTACCAAAATGTCCACCTGAAGGAGATGCACATGTGCACGGTGGACGGCTGCAACGCTGCCTTCCCCTCCCGCAGGAGCAGAGACAGGTGAGAGGCCATGCTTTGTCATTGCTAAAGAGCTGGTTATAAATGCGCTTAAACCTGTACATTCTGCTGTTTCCAGCCAATCAAAATCAGAAGTCCTTTACTTGTGTTGCAACGGGGAAATGAACGGTATTACAGCAGCAAGAGTGCAGATTAATAAAAAAGTAGACTTACATATTATACAAAAAAGTAGGTACACAATAAAACCACAATAGGTAAACCATGGTAAAAAACAAACACATAGGTAGCAGTATACAGTAGTTGAAGAAATGACCATAAAAACAGCTGATATCTCAACACGTTTCTGTTTAGCTCATTCAGTTAGCAGTTTCCTTCCTTAGCAGACAGCCTGTGTATCAGTAGTATAGCATCAGATCAGTGGTTCTCTAATGTGCAGGCAGGGAGGATGTACTGAAATCAGCTGATTAAGTTAGAATGTTCAGTTCAAACAACAGAATGTAGATGACAAATAAAACTGTGGTCTCAATCATAATTAGGATGTCCAAAAACAAACATTATGCATTGTACATAATTCATCAGGTTTTCTGCTTTGGCTTATCAAGGTTTACACGTCAGTTATTATGGAACAAAGAATGGACCTTTGTATGGCATTTGAAGGTATATTGCAGAAAGTAGATTAACCATTTGGTGATATTTTCTTTCTTCATCTACAGACATAGTGCAAATTTTAATCTTCACAACAAGCTGCTGACCAAAGACTCCTTCAGCCCAGCCAACACCCTGTACCTGCCCTCCTCTCACTGCAGGGACAGAGACTCTGCTGACTTCTACCAGGACCAGCGAGACAGAGACCTGCCCCATCGAGACCCGAGCAGCCAGAACTCCGTCATCTTCCGAGGGCACAATCGCATGGGCCTGGTTTTCCCCATGAGCAAAATGTCTACCGCACCAAACAGTGCTGAGGCGTCTCCCATAGGAGAGAGGGAAGAGGGAGGAGGAGGGGAGGAGGGGGCAGTCCTCGACCTGAGCACCTCCTCCTCTGCCCCACCTCGAGGCAGTGCTGGGGCTCCATCTACCTGGGACTCAGATGGTGCCGGTAGTGAGGCAGAGGAAGGGATTGAAGAGGATGAGGAGGCGCTCCCCATGGAGGACAGTGATGAAAGCTGCGATGGGATTGACGTGGGGAGGCCTGGGGGCGAGGAGTTGGCACTGGGGGGAGAGAGAACCCTGGGCTGCGTTGGGGGAGGGCAAGCCGGGCTTCAGGGGGGTGGGGGTGGATCTCCGATAACCTGCCACGTCTGCCAAAAGGTCTACAGCAACAAGGGCACGTTCAGAGCTCATTACAAAACTGTCCATCTGCGGCTGCTGCACAAGTGCAAAGTCCCCGGCTGCGACACGTCCTTCTCCTCGGTGCGGAGCAGGAACCGGCACAGCCAGAACCCAAACCTTCACAGGAACCTGCCTGTGAGCTCAGGGGCCCCCATGGACCAGGAGTAGGGATCTGAGCTCTAATGCTAACATGACTGATTTCCTTGGTTCTTATTGTCTTTTTATTGTTGTATTGTTGTTGCTGTTGTTGTTGTTGTTTTGGGGCACTTAAAGAAGGCTCACCAATTAGCACTTTTAAAATTCCATACCGTGTCCATCCTGTCATCATTTGGCAAAAAGGAGAGAAAAAGTCCAATAAGGCAAATGCTTTCATTATCAATGGCTTTTTCAGACATTGATAACACTTTACACACAAATTTCAACATATCAAGAATATTAAAGCACATACACTTCTTAGTAAATTCATTCCGAAGAATCATAAATGCCACCTTAATGAAGCTCAGTCGTTGTTGTAAAGCAGAGCTGATTGATTTGCATTGGTTTGCCTGACAGCCCAGTTTAGACCTCAAAATGTGTTTGTATGAACTGAATCTGTCCACGTGTTGAGCCGTGAAACTGTTTCATGCTAATTATTTTTCTGGTGTTTTTGTCGTCAGATGTTCACACTGCCCTGTGAGGAGGTGCATAATGTATTGATGGACGGCAGTAGTGAACTAGATTTGTGTCATTTCTTTCATTTGGACAATGTACTACAAAAATAGTCTTTGTTGAAAAGCTATCGTGTTGTGAGCTTGTTATAAGTTATTCAATGGTGTTCAATATGATCTGTCTTTACTGTTCTGGTTGTTGCATAATGCTAATGTTGACCAAAGATTTTTTCAGTCCACAGGTGAGTATAGAAAGCCCTTCATCATGTGTGAGGGCTATGCAGTATTAAAGGGCCCACCCAGGCTTCTCTCATCTACTTGGTGATTAACAGCAGTATTCAGGGCAGGGCTCTGTTGTACAATCGAATCAAATTCACCAAAACAAAAGATAAAGATAGCTTCTGACTGATGGAGGAGAAAAATATCTTGACTTTGGTGTTATTGTAGAGAAATGTGCTCATGGGACTAGACTTGATAAAGGCATTGCTCTTGTACTGTTGTGTGGTGTCTTGCAGTGTCCTGACTGACTGGACGATCTACAGGAATATATGCTGTGTCTCGAGGCTCGAAGCATGTACTGTGAATGAGTCAAACACTGAGAAATAATAAGAAGAAATGCAATTTATAAAAATGGCCCCACATGAGAGCACCCCTTAAAAAACAACTGGTAAACAAAATGTTTATTGTACTGTATATTCTGTGAATAGAGTAATTTGTTATCTGAAAGAAACCAAAAAAGATACCTTATAAAATAGGCTTATTTCACCACTAACATGTTTTTCTTTCTTTCTTTTTTATCAAAAAGAATGAACAAGAAAATGGTGTTGTATATGTTTAATTATTTCACCATGGTCTACTGTTCTGGTTTTGCTCTGCATTTTGCATATGTGTTCAGTTTGAATAGAATCACATGGGCCAGATTTAAGATCCCATTTCTGTGTTGTATGGATGTGTTCAAAAAAAGAGCAAAACCAATATGTTGATAGGTGTTCATGTTTCCTTTGATTTAATGTTAAAATATTCATTCCAATTAAATAAAAGCCATATCTTTGCAAGTCTCATTTCATTCAATGTTCTATCCATTAAACAAATACAAATTAGTTGTATCTTTGTGACTGAAATGTGTTTTTCCGTAATGTTAGCCAAGTTCCGCAGAAATGTGCAAATTGCGTATAGATACATATGCAATTGCAATGGCAACATATGACCATTGCAAAAAAAGAAATCAGCAGGTTGGTAGGCGCTCCTCTGCAGCGGTGCCATATGATCCGACTCCCCTGAGATCTTGTAATACTCTGTGTTAGGCGGAGCAACACTGATGAGCCTCTGAAAGACACGAGGCCACGGGGCTGCTGGGAGGATAATATACAGGCTCCACTGCAGAACAGATATTTATAACTACGATTCTTTGAAATAAACATCATATTTTCTCAATGAACCTATTGCAGCATCTAAACCATCATAAACATTACATCTTAGCTGTGAAGATATGTGTCCCACAGATTGCTGATATCCAGTTGAACGGAATTGAATGAAGTATCCTGCAACACATCTCCTTCTGGACAACGTATCCTGACTCTTGAAGTGAATTTGTATTTAAATGATGTTTTTCTGAAGAAAACGTCCCTGTATTAAAACTGGTTACTGTGCATGAGTTGGCAGGGGTTAGTAAGAAAATATGCTTTTATGTCATTTGGCGGAATTTATGCTTAAGTCATGAGCAAACCTGCTTTGAAAAATGGTTTGTGTCAATCATGGCTCATTGTCTTCGTTTAAATTGAGCGACTTGCCTTGTTTCAACTCCTTCAAAACACAATGACGGATTCACAAAATACTTTCCCAGATTAAAATAAACAAAAAATAAAGATTCAGAGATTATCTTGCCATCTGGCCTTGTTGACCGGGGGGGGGTTCGGTCCACAGAATAACTGCGTTCAGGTAAACCTCAGTTTGAACCCTTCACTGCTCTCTGATAGGGAAAGTAAACAGAACAGTCTCATTGTGCCCAGTGGCGTTTTCTCCTGGAGGCCAAGGGAAGCCAGGCTTCCCCTGATTTTTCGGATTGTAGTTATAATTTTAATAAATAAATAAAAACACTTCGTTTAGTTTCGGAAATTCTTTGTTGTGTGTTGCTGCCGGCCCGTCTCTCCCCCATTCTCATTGAGTATTTTACAAAGAGTGAAACAGCGCCCCTCTAGATGTTATGGTGAAACAGTATATTGCACTTTCTGTTGCGAGAGGAGGCCAGCCGAAATTTGCTTCCCTTGGTGAAAAAAAATGGAGGGATTGACTAATGAGATGAGGCTCACGTCATGCCCCTGCCAACCTGTGATTGGTCAGGGCCATGCCAAGGGAAGCCAGAGGCGGCTGGCTTCCCTTGCCTCACAATCCAATCAAATCGCATCAACTTAGTGGTGCAGTGACGCGTCCCAAAAAGCGGAAGTAAGCTGCGCTCGGTTTCCCTCGACAAAATAGCAATGGGATTTCTCCATAGGATTTTGGAAAATAGCTCGAAAAAAGGTCAGTGGAAAACGAACCTGTTAGGTAAATGCACGTTTTGTTCAGTCGGATAATATCCACATGTCTACCCTACTTTTATAATTTTCGAATTATAAATCTAATCGATAGAAGATAGATAGCGTCACTGCACCA